CTTCCAGTAGGGGGTTGGGGAGGGGTTGGACTGTTCCAATGATTGATGTGGGTTAATCCTTCGGGGCCTGCCTGTCCCGATTGACCATTCTCTAGCCATTATCCAGAACACGCCGCTCATGTTGGGAGGGGACTTAACAAGAGCCAGGTTTCTTATGCTGTCCAGGGCCATTTCGGTCCACGACAGGGATTGTCTAGTTAGGATTTTAATTATCCATTTCATCTGAAGTGCAATTGCCTCCTGTTTTGGGTCTATCACTCCCAGGCTTCCTTCTATTGGTTTCTTGGTGATGTGGTGCCAGGCTACTTTGTTGATGCAGGTGTGGTTTTGTTTGTATCCCCTGTCCAGAGATAGCATCTGACTCTGGCAGAGACAAGTCGTCATCTGGAGGGGACCATATGGAGGCCATGTACCACAACGTGGAGAAGATCGACGTATTGACGATTAGTGCTCTCCCAATTAGAGATGCCTGAGCCCTTTTACAAGGGGCCAATCGTGATAGTGCAACCACATAGTTCTCCACCACAATCAGCAAACATCAGAAGAAAACAAGAATTAAGACCTAACCCTTTCGAATAACACAGCCCCAATGGACGACATCACCTCGCTGGACAACACCATCAGAATTGACTGGCAAGCCAAGGGCCTGACAATCCACAGCTGGAATGTCAACGGCCTCGGCAACATACTCACCGAGGAGGATAAACTACGGGACATCCGGGCAGGTTTGATAAATAAAAACAAGTCAAAAACCGACGTTGTGCTACTTCAAGAAACTCACCTCTCCAATCTGACCAACCATGCCAGAATCAAGAGGACAATAGAAAAGAGCCTGGGAGGATTCGCCTTCACGCTGTGGTCCAACAAAAACGGACTGAGCAAACGAGGTACTGCAATCCTCATCCCACGCACCTCCAAAATCCTGACAGTAGGACAGATTGTCAAGGGCGAAGGGGACGAGACAGAAGGCAGGTGGTCGTGGATTGTCATCAGGTGGCAAGACGAAGACCTGAGGATTCTGAACGTATATGCCCCCAACGCAGAAAGCGAACAACTGGAGTTCTTCAACAACGTCAAACTACTACTGCCGAACCTCCAACCTGCAATCATAGCAGGGGATTGGAACACGACACTAGACCCCAACCTCGACCGGATCTCTCGGTCCCTACTCATGGGCCCCACACGCGCAGGAACCCACATAAGGAACCTCATGACAGAGTTCGAAATGATCGACCCGTTCAGAACCCTCCACCCCACAACGAAGGCATTCTCTCTAGTCAAAAGAAACCGGGCGAACCACACGTCGCTCTCCCGAATTTATTTCTTTCTGATCTCCGCATCCCTCGGAGTGACAGTCAAAGAAGCGGAAATCCTACCCGCTGCTGCTTTCAAAGGTCTGGACCACAAATCCGTCCATTTGCTCCTGAACTTCAACTCCCCGGTGGAAAAAGGGCAAGGCTTCTATAGATTAAATAACTCCCTTCTGGCAACAGAACGCCTAACAGAGGCAGTCAAGTGGAATTGGTTGTTCTTGAAACAAGATGAGGCAAGAAGGAGAGAGACACCAGTGGTTCATCGATAGCTACAAGGATCTTTCTCAGACTATATCTTTCGAGTCAAGAAGCTTAGCAGCTGAACGTAAAATTAGAAAAGAGGAACTCCAAATCGCCATAGCAGACGCCGAGGCGAATCTCACAACAGAACCCTCCAACGACTTCTATTATGACCTTCTAAAAGCTGCAAAAGAAGAACTCAATGAATGGAGAAAATGGGAATTGAGGGGCCTGCAAATACGAGCTAGGATGACAGAGTACTCCCTCAACGAGTCCATGACCAAAATTTTCTTCTCCAAGATTAAATCCAACGCCAGAAACAACATGATCGAGGGACTGAAGGACTCGATGAATCAAGGCAAGRTTGAAACAACTGGCTCGGGTATGGTGAGAATTGCCAGGGCCTTCTATGCAGAGCTCTACGAGTCCAAAACCCCCTCGCCTCCCCCCACAGCCAATTCGAACGCCYGCCAACATATGATGTCCTACTTAGAGAGGACAATCACACCGAAACAGACCGAGGATCTCGACAAACCTATCACCAAGGGAGAACTCCAAATAKCACTCTCCCAAATGGGCAATGACAAAGCCCCAGGCATTGACGGCCTATCAAAAGAKTTMTGGATGCAGTTCTGGCCCATATWAGGGGACGATCTTCWCGACTTTTTCAATGASAGCAGAGACAAGGGAGGCCTAGGCCAATATCTCAGCACCAGCGTAGTCTCACTACTCCACAAGAAGGGGGAAAAGGAAGACCTAAAAAATTACAGACMCATCTCCYTACTCACGACCCCCTACAAARTCCTGGCAAAAGCATTGGCCAACAGAATCATAAGCCTCACTGACAAATGCTTCCACATTGACCAAGCAGGTTTCATCCCAGGGCGGTACATACTCGATAACGTGATGACATTGAACGAAGTGGCCAAGAAGATTACCAAAAAAAGAATGAAAGCGGCGATCCTCTTCTTCGATTTTGAGAAGGCTTATGATCAAGTTAATTGGGACTTCCTACATGCTTGTATGGAGAGAATGGGAGTGGGACCAAAGCTCAGGGAATGGGTCAGAATCTTATATGGTGATGCCACTGGTAGAGTCCAACTCAACAGAATCATTTCCGATGCCTACCAGATCTCGAGATCCGTCCGCCAGGGCAACCCCCTCGCTCCTCCCATCTTCTTATTCATCATGGAGGCCATAGTGTCCTTCCTTCGAAAGGACCCGTCGATCGACCGCCTAACAGAACGTAACTACAGCCCTCTGCACGATTTCTCCCTCCCCACTGTACTTATGTTTGCTGA